GTGCGTGCGTGTGTATAGAAGAAGAAAGAAAAGAGGAATAGAAGAAAAGAAAAGAGAATAAATTTTAATAAAACGAATTTTATGGAAGGAAAGCAAGTTCACAAAAGTAAATTTGATCAGACAATGATAAAATTAATAAAATATAATATTGTATTTTACGGACAATAACTATATATTCAGAGCAAGATAGAAATTAAAGTTAAACTAAATTACTTTTCATTTTTACATTAATTAATTCATATAATGTCATGAGAGAACATTTTAATTGAAAAGAGACGTGATGAAGAGACGTGAAATGTCAGAAAACTACAGGCTTACCAAATTCTTGGTTAACTTAGTTATAATTTAGAAAAATCGAGATTTTTGTGTTTAACATGTTAGAGAGTTTATATCTTTCAGTGAAAAAGTTAAATTAATATATATTCTAAAATTATTACACATCACTGTAATCCTTACAAGTACGGTATGTCGTTCTGACAAGACTGCTTTTCATGACTAGAATGCATATTGATCTCTGTCCGCTTGTCATCTTCGGTGACGGCTAGTTCCCAAGTATTTTGCATCTTATTAACCGAAGTACCATGCCAATATCGTGAACTTTCGCGCGAACTTGAATGAATGTTGGTCCTTCCTCTGAACGTTACGCGCGTCAAATACGCCGCGTCTGAGGGTGATCAAAAAAGTTTCAGAACTCGAACGCGATAAGCATGATGATCACGTTATTTGCATATTTTCTACAAGCCAGAAGAAACAAGATTCGACCAGAAAAATTCAAGCAACCATCTTCATCTATCTAGGTAAATACAGTTAATAGTTTAGAAAGACATGGAAAAATGCTTCCAAAGATTGTTAAAATTTATAATACTATGCAAATGTCAAAACTTCTTTTCGTCGTTATTTTTTGCATCTTATCATCATTTAATATTCTCAAAAGCTGTAACCTTATTGAATTTAATAGTTTTGTCGCACAAAATTTTTTCTTCTCGTAATAAACGAGAATCTTTAAATGTACGAGTGTGCTAAATGTAGATATAGAAAAGTTCATTGTTGGTCGGCAAAACATGAAACTATTTGACACATTGACCCCACAAATCTGCAGGAATTACTTCTTCAAAGCTGGAATCGGATTACGAATGGCGACTGTGCAAACAGTGCTTTGTCGTCGTAACTTATGTAGGATAGTATTGCATTTGTGTGCTCTTTCGGAACGATTAAATTCTCATTGTAACTAACGAGGACGACTCAGTAGCGTTTCTGTACGACAACAACGGCACGATGTAGAGATTCCTGAAGTGCCAATTAGTACTTCAGTGTTCCAAGTGCAAATACATACAAGTGTTATTATTTGTTATCATAACTGACGACTTAATACAAGGCTTTGCAAGACTATTCACCTCCGTGGAAATATTATTCTCTCGGAAATCTTTACGCTGTGAAACTAGAGTAGCACTAATACATCTGAGTATTTAAAAAAATAGTCTTTTTCCAATCCAATATACGCAAAGTTTATTAAAATTATTTCAATCAGTATCAGTATCAAAAATAAAATAATTTTATCGCTTGGTGTACATCACATATAGATATCATTTTTTAACTTCTTTGATACAATATATTTTTATAATTTATGCATAAAAGATTAAAAATGATGAAGTTGAAAGTTTCTGTAGGGTATTTGCTCCAGAGTGCTAGAAATTAAAATGGAACAAAGTTGCGAAATGGAACAAACGCGATACTTCGACAATTATCGCATAGAAGAACGATAAACTTTTCCGAAACTCCTTCATAACTCCCAACGCGAACATTTGGCTTAACGAAGCGAGCGCGCGGCGCACGTAGATCGATTAGAATGTACATCGGGATGAAGCTCGTCTTGCTCGCTCGTGTATCCAGTTGCGGTTAGAATTTTACGGCTATGCTCGCTACATATTCATAGCGCGCCGTCGGACCGAGGGAGATCGTTCCGGAAGTTACCGCTGCGCGTATTCGGGTCAGTTGCAAATAACGAATGTCGCCAAAAATCAACGTGATTTATGGCGAATCCGATCGCGTTTTCCGGCCGTCGCCGGCAAGTACAAATCGAATACTCCGCCGGCGAAGAGTCGAACTTATGTAAAATAGCAACGAGCAGCGCGCGACCCGACTCGACTCGGGGCGACGAACACGCCACGATGATTAATCGCGTTGTCGGCCGCGGCGCGATTTAAAAGTAAAATCATTTATTCGATATGGGATAGGGAGGTGCCCGGCGATGACAACCGGTAATAGCTTGCATTACGCGTAATGACAAACGGCGATGCGCCGCAACGATATGGAAAGTGGGTCACCACGTGGATTCCCCCCTTCGTCCCGGCGTCATAAAGGCGTCCCAGGACACCCTGGACGCCTTTGGCGACCGTCCTACCGGAAAATTTGCTCGCTCAGGTGCCGACAAATGTACCTTCTCTGTCCTGTCTCCGCGCGACAGCGCGAGGTACGTAAGTACGGCTGGAATAAATTCGCGACAAAATGTAAGGGAGAAAGAAAGAGGAAGGACCGTACGACCGATCCGTACGATGTCACTGTCGCCCCCGCACTAAGGCACCCGCATCCTCTCTTCCCACTAAGATGTCGAGCGTGCAAGCTGTTCGCCTAGAAAATTTGCATCCTCGAGGCGTTTCAGCCTGGCTGCTCGCGCCCCTATCGTCTTTGAAATTAGGTATTCCCTGCTAGAAATTCGATGATGAACGCGGAGGTCCTTACAAATCGAGTTAGACAAAATATCGTGAGAAGAGAAATGAGTAATAATAAATTAAAAATAGGCTATCAACTATTGTCTAATTTCCTTTTATTTTTAGCACGTGTTCTCCGATCTAAAATAAAGTAAATCTAATTATTATTTGTTAAATATTAACTAAATTTCTAATTCGAGAAAATAATATTTAGTTTATTACAGAAAGACAACATTAATCTCACGCTCGCTCGATCGGCGTGTCCTTGAAAATCCCCGGTGGAAAACTCACATGTCTTGGTATATCTCGTCGCTTTTTTCCCCCAGCGGTTAAACGACTCCCAGCGAACTTTCTCCTTCGTGGAGTAAGTTCTCGAGAAGCTCATTCAGCCTCGGGCTGCCGGACGACGCGGCGCTCGGACAGGCGTGAAGGGATTAAAAGAGCGAAATAACGTCGGCGTACAATAGGCTCCCCTCACACACCCATTACAAAGAAGAACTGTCCGCGACGGCGAGATTCGAGGCAATTTCCGTATAATCTGAAGCAGAGTTTTCCAAACTGTAGCTCGTAACAAGACGCTGCTCTTCGAAAAATAATACGCAGACGTTCGTAAATCATTATTAAAATATAAACAATATTTCCAAAATATTGCAAAATTATTTCTTAATCATAATGCAACTTGTCACTTTTTCAAAACTTTTCTCAGTCTCATTCAAATCAATCTCTTCGTATATTTTTCGCGTACAATGTATTCATCCAAAATGAAAATAAATATTCGAAAAGTCCATTCAAGTTACTTTTGATTTGGAAAATGCTGATCGAGAGTGAGAGTCAGTATATACTATACTCTATAACTCGCAGGAACGAAAACGAGATGACTGAGAAGGTTTTCCGGTTAAAGAAAAAAAAAGAGAAGGAGGAGGAAACCAGTTTCGGGTGATATATCTTCGCGGTCTCGCCTCGACGAGCCTCCCCTAAACGCCCGAAGAGGCGACGTGGAGTAAAAAGGGCGCACGGATGGCGCGAGCGCGAGCGCGCGCTCGCACGCTTCCACCGGTTTTTGTTCGCGCTACGGAGTTAATCCCCTCGGAGTTTGCCTCGAAAGCGGCTGGTGGAGCTTCTTTCGGCAACTTGGACCACTCCCCGGCAGGGGCGGCGTAGGGCAAGTCGAGAGGAGACTTCCCGACTAACCGCAACTGCAGTGGCGAAAGAGGCGCAACGACGCAAAATAAACTACCTCCAAGTCGCATAATACACGGCGTCATCCCTGGAGCCATTTCCCCGACTCTCCCCAACGCCGTCACCATCCGCTTCCTATGCCGCTCTTGTAACACGGTCGTCGCACCTCAACTATACAACGCGGCGTCGCTTCTTCCCGGTTCGCGGGAAAGCTTAAAACAAGTCGAGAGTGCCGTCGGTTTCAAACTTAATTAAGTTTATATTTCAGTTTCGATGGGCACGCGGCTTGTCTGCCACCCTCGCCGCGACACACGTTACTCATTTCCGACATGATGGCGCAACTAGGTTTAATATCGCGGAAATCTCACCGGCTCGTGCCCGTCGATCCCTGAGTAAAAACGACCCGGAATTATTTCGCGCTCGTTCTATCTCAAAATTTATCCAATTTAAATCCATGCATATGTATAATAACTGTTGATTATTTTTTGTTATTTCTGTATTCTGGCATACCAATTTATTATGAGTTTGTAGAAAAGTCTAATTATACAGATATCCCAAGCCAAAAATAAGAGAGATCTTCAGAGAGGAAAACAAATAATAATCATTTCATTTTTTATTAATTTTTTATCAACTCTACATCGACAGAAATAACGCTTAAAGATTTTCTATTAAAATTGGTATTTTATAATCTATTTATAGTATTTTTATTTCAGGACTATTTCAAGTAATATCTTAAAAGAAGATCTTAAAATGTACTCGGTTTTGTGATTTAATATTCAATATCTTATATCTGTATTTAAAGATAATATATTAAATTATTGTTAAATAAATAGAAGTATACATCATATGACTACAAATATTAAAAAAGTGGCTTAAGAAATTTATTGTTGAAAATTGAAAGTAGCAAAAAAATAACGATTACTCTTTTCCAATATTTTATTAACTAAAATTAGAAAAATATCGCTCTTTTAAATTTATTTAAAAAATTTTGCAAGAGAAAAAATAAAGAAATAAAAGATTAATTCCATTCGTCGTTTTCGCATTAAAACACGGTTATTTCAAATATAATACCCAATGCAATTTCATATTGTCGACTATTTCATATATACTCACATTGGACGTCAAGCAGAATGCTGGCGTTCATCGGCATCATCAACGTAATATGACGTGCGACACAAACGATAGTGGCATTGTGATGTCCCCTCAAGACCTTAAGGTAAGCTCCGCTGCGCCTGCCGGATGTTGAGGGCAATACGGTGAGGTTGTCCGGTGGTTGTTCTGGGCCATCTAAAGTGGCTTGAGACAAGGTCATGCCCCACGCCAAGATGGGCGGTGGATTTCCACCCTCGGCCGCGCATTCAAGAGTGAGCTCCGAGCCTTCCTTCACCGGCACAAACTGGTTTCCTGGATCCAGCCGGCGGCCATCTATCAGCAGATACGTCCCACGAGGTGCCTCTGTAACAAGGAATCACCGGTAATCGCTTCAATTAGTGACCTCGTAAAATCGTTGAAAAATCTGATCGTACTCGAGCGATCATTGCAATTCACAAAAAAAAAAGATTCAATAGTAATTGTCATCTTCGAAACGCGTTTAATGAACAATATAATAATAAATGTGTGTTCTACCTAGTATTATGAGAGAATATTCTTCATCGGAGAAAAAAAGAAAACAAGTGCGACAATAATTATATAATATAAAATCTGCAATCATTTTATAATCGAGCAACGTTGTTTCCTCAGACGTGGATATCATAAGGTATAAATTACAAGCATGTAGTATGAGATGTAGCGTTAACGTCTCAGGTGAGCAATTTAGAGGCGAGTGCGATGTCGCATTTAATCAGATTTACCAAACGGGCGAGCGGAATAGTTTTTAGTCTCAGACGTGCTATCGTTGTCGGAGGATGACGTAAATTAAAGTCGTCCGTACGGCGGACTTTTTACGCGACACCACGAGGGGCGGAAAGCGCAACATATGAGAGCCGCAATTTACAGAGCGGCATTGCACGCTGGCTAGTTTTACAACGGCGCTTGTACGAGAGCGTAACTTCCTGGTACGACTCCTTTCCTCATTTTGCGACGCGGTTTAATCGCTCGCGCGAATCACAAGTCCCTCCGAGGGAGATTAGTCGGATACGTCTCTTCAAAGCTCCCCTTTAATTTTCGCCAACTTTCAATTGGCCAGGTTGGGCTAACAACTGATTAAGCCCTGGTCGGCAACTCGGAGTCAGCTTTGAAAACTGAAAAAAAAAAAAGGTAGTAGTTCGCCGTTCTACTCGGCCGCGCTTTTCGCTTCGCGAGAGAAGTAATCCGACCGTTTGTCTACGTCGAATCTCCTAGGAAACCCGCGAGATGCTTTAATGTACTTGAAACTCGCTTTTTTTTTATCCCATTTTTCTCCCCTTTTTCGCTCTGCCCTCGACTCTTAATGCGCCCGGAACTTATGCGTAATTAAAATCTAACGATGCAAATCGTCCGGTATCCGGGGTATTCCCGCGAGAGGCATAAACACTCTAAAGTAGACGTCGGTAAATTTGGTTATAAGTTAACGTTTCCCGTCCGCGAGCTCCGTTCATTTGGGACTCGTTGTATCCGCTTCGATTTTTTGCAAGCTACCCTAGAACACCACAGATTTCTCGGTTTAGCGATATTAAGACATCGGTGGTAAATTGTAAGCCGTAGGGAAAAAGAATCGAGAAGGATATTAATGCTGTTTAAACACACGTTGGAAAAAAAACTGTAAACTTGAAGAGCGCCTCGAAGAAAGTTGTAACTGCGATTTATACAGTCCAAGTTAAATTACAAGAGTGACGTAGTGAATAATTCTTATTCGAGGGAGGCGATATAAAAGAATGAGGCAAACTGCAGTAGATTACTTTTCGGCGCGAGCATCGAAAATTCGTAAAAGTCAGGTTTGTCTTATATAAACTGACGACGTGGTACGCGATGCCAATCTCTCCCGGCTCCAAGTTGACTTCTCCGCCATACTCCCGCCGTGCTTCGATAAGATCTAGTCACGTTCATTAAATTTTCTCGTACTGTCGGCCTTGCCAAGACGGATGGTAGGGACGTTCTCGAAATAGGTCGCTGAATAAGAGGAAACGTGCAAAGCTTTCTAAAGACAGAAATTGTAATTGTATCTCCAGTATGATTTAATGTAATAAAATATAGCGCAGGCGGCACCTGCAGCACCGAGTAAAACGGCGCAGGCATGACGGAAAATTTAATAATACCATGAGATTTAATAATACGGCCGAGGCTGTGTTCTTTTTCAATTTGTTAACTAAATATATAAAATTAAAAGCAAGCATACTAAAATGCATCGTATTTTTTTATACTTTATTTTATACTTTATACTTTATACTTTATTTATTTTTATATTGTTATATATTTCAGTTTGCCATTCTTTTATATAGGTGATACATCTGTTAATAGATAAAAGAAATTTCTTTCTGGAGTAGCATTAAACGATTCAATAGAAACAAGTCAGAAATATCGCGAATAACAATGAAAATTGAATGGATTCATTAATCTTACTATAATATTATCGGAAATATGGAAGCTTAACATGTCCATCACAATGAGCTCTTATTGGAAGCTTATAATCTTTCTCTCTCTCTCTCTCTCTCTC